ACGAAGCCATTGGAGCAATCAAGGGAAATCGCCTAAAACGAGGAGCTTCTTGGATGGCTGAGGCTGAAAACACCATCAAGGAAGTCTGCCCACTGGAAGATATAAAGCGGGGTGAAGAATGAATAAAGATGAATGCGAGACAGCAGGAAGATTTTGGGAGGGTAGTTATTACGCTTAACAGAGAATGTAGAGAGTCGTCTCAGAGGGCGACAGATGCTGAGATACGACAACTGATTGAAGAAAACTCACGGCACGGAGATGTGGTTGTTTACACGGATGGATCTGTTAAACGAGAGGAAAAATCTAGATGGGGCTTCTCAGCAAGAGTGAGCGGCAGATTGGTGCAGGAACAGCAGAGAGTTTACGATATGACAACCTCTAGCATGAGAATGGAGATAGAGGCAATCACTCGGGCTCTCAAATGGGTCACAACAACTCGACAAGCACATATGATCTTTGTCACAGACTCTCAGAGCACTCTGGGGAAGATTGAGAGTGGAAACCTTAGAGATGAATGGACAGAGCTCCTGAAGAAGACAACACTGAAAAAGATCACGTGGATCTTCACCCCGGGCCATGCTGGAGTCAAGGGCAATGAGCGGGCTGATGAGCTCGCTGGAAAAGCAAGACCTGAAGGGAAGCTGTGCCCTGACAAAACTGAAATTGTACGTTCAATCAGGGGAAAAACGAGAAAAAGAACAAGAAGAGTCGGAATACCATCATCTTGAGCGACTTCGTGAGCTTGAAATCGGATGGGGCGCCTGAAGAAGTTCAAGACTTAGTGGGAGGAGCAGAAGGCTATGGAATCAACCATTGCTTGGAACCGTCAGCATCTACACACTTCGAGATGTGCTTCTTCAGGGGACGAAGCGCTTATGGGGATGCCCCTTGTGCAGTGATGTCGGTCCTTCACACAAGTAAACAAGTAAACCTTTTTTGTATCCTAGACGAAATATATTTTAGTCATACTGAGTACATTTGGTCGCTTTTAAGGACAGACTTCGGGGGTTTCCAGATATTCAGACCTACATAAAAAGTGGGCTTTGCCCAACGTATACGAGAAGTTTGGTTTTATAGGTGTGTATATATATTTGATTATAGAGAAAACTCTCCTTGTCTTTTAAAGAATCTGAACATGGGTCCAAAAATTTTACCTTCCATTTTCTCAAAACAGCATTTTTTCGGGATAGCCCCCTTGTGCTTAAAAGCAACCATTTAACAGGTTTGTTTAGCCTTTGTGTCGGCTTGTCCTGGTACATGTATACAACCAGAGACCTATGTTTTTTATGTCTTCATATATCCCGCAGAGGAAGGGGGAAGCACATTTCAGATTTTTTGATTCAAGGAAATGAATTATGAGCCAAGAACATCTTTTCACATCTGTAGTCTGTAGACCGCCATAATGTAGCCAAATACTCTTTCACTTTCAGAGTGCAGGGGACTAAGATGTTCATTTAAAAAAGTAGATCTAAATATAAAATCCTTCGATTTTATACCCGTGTTAAAGTTAATTTTAAACACCTTTCTAAAGGAACAGACTACAGCTTGTTTAAAAGTGAGGACACCCCCCCCTCCCTTCCCCCTTCCTTCACACTTACACACGCACGCACGCACACACACACACACACACACACACACACACACACACACACACGCACATGCACACAAACAAAGACACACACAAGCCAGGAAATTGGACAGAGGGGAAAACACGTACAATTCAATTAAGTCGAAAAACTCATCCGGGAGATGATCTCATATCTTTTGTTCCGCTTCACGAAATGGAGACAGGGATAAGCTCCAGCGTTAGGCCGAGACTTATGAAACTCCTATTAAGCGCCGAAGAAAATTGGTATTCTAATACGATTACGATTTATTGCCACACGCCTCGCTACTTCTCAGAAACAAGACAATTACTGTAGAGTCAGGAGGGAGGGGGGGGGGGGCGGGGGGACTCATTGGTCTTCTGCAATTCCTTATTTATCTGGGGGGGGGGGGGGGGGGTTATCTTGCTCAAAGTAGTCCAAGTCTTGTATCCCATCCATGAGACCGCGAAACGCAAATGCTGAGGCTATATTCGTACACAACAATTTCTTTGTGTAGTATAAGAGTGGCATTCTTTGTTGTACTTGTATATGACTTGCCATAAGAAAAATATATTTAAAAATATAACCTCTCCGCTCTTTGTGTAGGACTTGCTGACCAACGAACTGGTCCCACAAAAAGTGTACCCTCACCACAAGTCTCCTGAAACAACCTAGCACTTCACCAGCAGGGGAGAGCAGCTAGCAGTGTCAAGCAACATGTTCAATACAGAATAGCACCCCATTTTTTTCCAAGTGTTTTACGGCGCTCGCCACAGCGCGCGGGACATATTAACCATTTTCAGTAGGTAGGAGATTTCGAATTTTGCCCGGGTGACGGCCGAAGCCTGCTCTTTTGATCGATTCTAGGACCACTAAGGGATCTTTTGCGTGCACAACTTGCACACAGGACCTTCAAGATTGTTCACCCTTATCCGAGAAGGCTAGGTGTAAATCTTATCTACCATAAGATCAAGAAGGAGCCAAGGGGTAGCAGTAAAAAAGCTGCAGAGAGAGCCAGAAGCCCAGAGGAGAGAGCAAAGGAGATGAGGGGGTGGAGGCAGAAAATGGAGACGAAAGCAGACGACAGAACATTGTTAGAGAGCATGAAATGATGTGAAAAGAGAAAATTTTAGAGAAGACAATTTTCCGTCGCTGTCCGGACTCGAACCCAGGACATATAAAATGAGAGGCGAACACCTTAACCTCTACCCCATTTGTATTTCCTATTGTGTAATTGGTAGTGTCAAAACAATAAGGTAGTGGTTGGTGATAATCACAGTATGGTTCGCCCCTTCTCCTTCTTTTCAGTGTCTCAGTTAATGTTATCCTCATCATCCAGGAGAAATCGGGCCTTTTTAGTAACATTGGAGCGACTTGCATTGCATTACAGTACAGCTTTTACAGTTCAAAAGCTAGTCCTGGATTAAGCTTGGGACCGTTCAACTAAGTGAACTAAGTCAGAAGCTGGCATAAAGGATCTAAATGTATACAAAACATTCTGTGAACCGTCCAACAAAAGGTACGGTCCTCAGCAATTTCAGTAGAATAAATGAAGACTATCTTTTAGCCTCACACAGTCACGTTTCTACTATAAGCATACAATTCGACACATTTTTGTCCAGTACACGTGAATTTACTGCTCTCCTGATACCGATATAATGAGGGTTTAGGTAACAATCAGTATCTTTATTCCAGTCTTTGGACGAGCACTAGGAACAAAAAGAAAAACAGTCCGTCACTCTTGTACTTGTACACATTATATCTAGTACTGGATTTTGTTGATGACGTAAGAGGCCATCAAGTAGCCATCAACTGCCCATGCAACCATAACGTTTAAACTTAAACATCTTCGTATGAATGCAAAACTCGTTAAAGCTATTTGAATCTCGTTAACCCTATCAGTACGTCGTGTTTTACTATCGTATCCATACGACGTGGGGAACTCTGTGCTACCACTTTCCAAAGAGGAAATTTACTCGTTAATCCGATCCGTACGCTTTGCATAGCAGTCTGTCAAAATGATTTTTTGAGAAATACTGAAAGTTTCAAAGAGATCTTTGCACTAGAAGTATTCTAAAATGTGAAGAATACAACCCCGGGGGTACAAACTGACCCCAGGGCGTACGGATAGGGTTAAGAAAATTATACATGTAGCCTACATCTTATCATCCCAGGTTCATCTGCAAGAATACTTCCATTGTAGGGCGTTTGAGAAGGGCACATTCTCAGTAACTGACCCTTAGATTTGTTCGGCTGCAACCCTGTCACCATATGATATAGGCCTACTTCTTGACTGCTCTCACACATCCTCATAAATAAATCTGTTATTTCTCTTCAAAGCACCAGCGACCCAGAAATCTCTCGGTAAATTGTATTTTATCTTCTTTTACATTTACATGTAGGCCCACGTAATTCTTTTTTAATTCTCAACAATCATCCCTTTTTTAACAACCGTTCCGGCTGGAACAAGTGAGCAGTCGAAATGTTCTCTCTTACTTCCATCTCAAGCATTGTCAAGACAGTTTAAAGCCCCAGGAGTTTCATATGAAAGTATTGAAAGCCGTTCATTTTGCTTCAGAGATCTAAAATAAAAAGACGTTTGGGCAAAAGGCGACACTAGTTCCGACTTGGACTTATTCACAGTCTGATTTAAAGGGTTTTTTTTCTCCAGAATAGTCAGTAGAGGCGATCTCCTGAATTTCTATACATTAATAATAATAGTGACAACACAGTGCATGAAATATCCCTCCCTAAATTTTGAGTTGCAGCTTCGGACACATATTGTACAAAAGTTAATGATAATCACATCAAGTTATCAGTTATCTAGATCGTCTAAGTCTAAGCCAAATTGTCCTTTTCTCTGTCAATTATACTTAAATTTGTTTCTTATTCAGCACCGGAAGGTAAACTCCATTTATTTACTTACATGTTTTTTATAACAAATTCACTTGTACGGAAATTCATTGGGAAGTCAAAGTACATGTAGATGACTCACTTACCACACACCTCCTTTCAGGAGTCTTCAACACCCAGGTCGACTTTGTAACACATGCAGTCTGCTCTGAGAAACTACTTAAATCAAGGCAAAATTAACTAAACGTGGTAAAATTAGAGGTGTAGAAAAATAAGATTCAAGATGTAAAACAATTGTACCACTCATATTATAGAAAACCCTTGGAATCTTGCTTCAGTACTTTCACTTTTGGTACGGTACCTGTTTTATGGAATAAATAAATATCTCTTTATAATTGTTGCAGTCAAGAAGCCTATTGGTACCTCTTCCAAGATCCAAGAGCAAATTACGTTCTACTAATAAAAATGTAAAATATAACCAATAGAGATACATTAATTAGAACATATCATATATATATATGTGTATTTTGTTACGTAAAGGACCTGAGTCAGTAATTCAAATGCTTTTAAAACATCAGCATTTATTGTTCAAGAACGCAGTGAACCAATCCTAATCACCAGATACAAATTCAAGGGAAAAAAAAACAAAAACAAGAATGCACTTTGGATGACATTAGTGGTTGAAGATCTAGATCAAAGCACACAGAAACTGGGTAAAAAGTAAAAAGAAACTTTAGAAAAAATGGACACATTGCAGGCATACCAGGACAGAGTTCATTAAAACAATGTACATGATTCGCAGTTCATGTACACGGTCCGTGACTAATTAGAAATAACGCTGACAGTCAAACTTCTGCCATCACAATGAACTCTTTTATATATAATTATATTATGGGATTTCATTCCACTTGACATACAGGGAGTGTTTCAGTTATCGTAGTGAAATCAGAGCATGTGGGTAGTTCCTGTGCAGACCCTCTGAATAAGTTAAGTAATGATCTTCAGTCGAAGTTCAATCATCACATAGAGCTTTTTTTATGACAATTACATCCGTTTGACAAGAATCAAAGCAAGATGCATTCCCAGTCTATTTGACTGCAGGTGTTAAAGACTGATCCCAATATACAAGAGAGGGTTTCAGAACCTAGACTGTGTGTGTTACCCAGATTTTATACATGTACAGAGAGACCCTTGTCCACTTAGTCAGCATGGCAATTGCCCCATTTCACAAAGAGAAAATAAGGATAGTTCACGTACTGACAATGGGTAGAAAGACTTGGGAGACAACCACATCAGATCACCCCTCACCCCACCAACTACATGCGAAATTCCACAATAGCTGGCTGCTGCAAAACAGCTATATAAGTACAATACCTCATTTAGTACAGTTAGACTTTTTCTGAGGTAAAATTTCTCAAGAGCCAAACCTGAGGCTTTGAAAACTTCGAAAAATCCAAAACCCTCATTGGCAGAGAATGAGAAATGAGACTTGAACGCAAGACTTCCCAGCAAAAGAAAGCTAAAGAAGTAACTAACCACATTACACAAATGTGTACTTCTTTAGAAGAACACATTGAGGAAATTGCTGGGAAAAAAAGAGACGTGAACACAAACACATCAAACAAAAACATAAGAAACTTAGGTATCTAAGAAAACAGACATTTTACAGTCTCCATACAAACTATATGGCACACCTTTAGTATGTGACGTCTCTATCAAGATATCCAAAATGAATATCAACTCCAATTTAAAACAATATGAAACAGAAGAAAAAAAACCGAGAAAGACAAAGTACAGTACAGTCACTTTTAATGTAAACAGCATGTATTATATATCACTGACACAAAAACAAATCGCTACACCCAAGCCCATCAGTTTGCAAATAAAGGGGATGCTTTACAACGAAGTTTATTATGGCAGAAACTTTTAAGAACCATTACCTGAAATATAGCACTATGTTTATTAAATACATGCATCTAAGGGAAAATAGAATTTCAAAGCAAGATTTGGGAATAAAGTGTGGAAACTGTGTGCACTAAAACAAATACATCATTTCTCATAATACAGTGCTAGTACAGCATCAACAGGCTGTAGCTTGAGCCATGTGATTTTGTAGTAAACATTTCATGAAATGTAACTAGCACTTGGCACAGCACAGAGAAATTGAAAAAGAACAATCCCCAGCTACTGCTGTGGTACCATAAATAATAATCATATTGTAGTCCAATAACTGACTGTAATAATAATGATAACAAAGGAAGTATTTATTACCCTGTCCTTAAACCTACAACTTATAAAAGAGATATAAGCAAGCATCCTTAATTCTATGGGCCTGAGCTCACATCCCAGAATGCACTACCTTTTCCCTTCTGCACAACGAATGCATGCCCCAACAAGGGTGGGTGTAAATCTAAGTTTTTCCCCCTCAGCACCTCAAGTGCAAGGACCATGTAGGCTTAGGGGACCAAGGCTCTTAGGTTATAAAGGGGAAAAAAGCACAACCTACCTGCCCCACTTTTGCTGTTTGTAATTTTAAAAAACAGCACTAAAATCTAAATGGACATAAAGTTCGTTGAAATTATGAAATTACAGCAACCAAAAACATTTTTACTTAAAAAAAAAAAAAGTAAAATTTGTTAATCAGTCAAGTTTGACACTGCTTCCATGTCAATTTAGGACAAACGTGAACCAGGATTTATAGCTCCATGTCTGTTTCTTATTAATTAGTCATGGAGTCATGGAGGCTAAAGAGAACCAAGAAAAATCACAGTTTCAGCTTCCCAAAGCTCCTAAAGCTAACAAATCATGAGAAGAGATCAACTCAGTAACCACAGAGAGTGGTGATAGCAATATATCAAGCCCTGATGAAAACACTTCTTTCACACCAATCTGTGACAATGAACAAGAAAAACTGGGCTCTCCATTCACAAAATTTGCAGTACTCCATACATATTGCACATAAACAAGGTGTGGAACTATCAAGATGGAAAAAGACCTTCAGCACTGACCAGTGATGAGTTCAGTATTGACAAGAAACTGAAAGGGATATGTCACTATGCACACAAATTGAGGGGTTCAGGTGTCACTAAAGCCCATTTGAGAAATAAACATAACCGTACGTTAAAAGAGTAGGTCAGGCAACCAGCAAGAAAAGTGCCATGACTTGAAAAATACATCAGCTAAATCTTACCAACTTTGGTATTTCAGTACAAAAAGGAAGAGAAGTAATTTTCTACTAATTTACTTTTATAGACTACATTCGATCAGTTTGCATGCATGAACCACAAGTACAAAAGCAGCCTTTTTTTTTCATTGGCTTCGGGGTAAAATTGTTTCAGCCTGAATTTTTCAGAAGGTAAGAAGAAGTGGTCCAAGAATATGTAACTGGGCCCTTGTCTGGATCCAAAATGTAAAAAATCAGGTGACCTTTCACTTGCCCAAGGCTTTCAATCGTTTTTCTATACTGTCCACATTTTGTTGAATAAGTTTGTTGTTGTCGGCCAGGCTTGACTGAAGCTGGAAAGAGAAAGACACAACAAAAAAATATTTTAAAAGATTAATCTTCATTTGTACATTGAACTTTGGAAAAAACCTGATTTTAATCTTTGACTTGACAAAAATTATCATTCGATAAAAAGATGTGTTTGCTAGAACAAGCAAAAAACAGAAAAGGTTCCTTTGTTAACATGCTCTATGAGTAAAATGATATTCTCAACATTTTGTCTCAAAACAAATTGGCTATTTTAATATTTAAGAAACTCAAACAGTAAATAAATGGAAAGAATGTGCTTCTAGGCTCTTTTTTTTAAACACATACCTCTTTTTAGCCTGATTTCTATATTGGTCGACACAGTCCTATTTCTGTGATATCGACTCATTATATAGTTATGCTGCAAACTGTTCTTATAAAAGAGAGGAGACACAGAATTTGATAAAGTGATAGAGACAGCAAATAGAAAGTGAAGAAAAGGATAAGTGTTCTCAGAAACTGTTTCTGTTACCTGTTTTTGCATGTCGGAATTTGCAGCCAAATTGGCTTTTACTTCCTGCTGGGCAGTGTCTAAGTATGACAAGGCTTGACTGAACTGAAGGGCTGTGAAATACAGGGGGAAAGCAAGATTGATCATAAATATTCATTCAGTCCACACTGAAGACATTCATCAACAATTTTGAAACTGAGTTAAAGTTTAAAGGCATAACCAAAAAATGAAAGATTAAGTCCTGATTCTCATAGCTAGCTTTATTTCTTATATATGAGACGTAAACAGTCGAACCAGCTCTGACGACCACCTGTCCAAGGCAATCACTTGTACAAACGGCTGTTTCCCACTTCCCTTTTGAAATAGTTTTACTCTATAATAATGACACTCTCCAAGGCAGTGGCTGTCTTGGACAACTTTGACAATACTAATATTATATACATTTCAACAAATACTGTTTAATTTAACTTAACTTGCAAAATTAATACAAGACTTTTTCTTTCAAATCATACACCTTAACATACACACCAAAAAATTCCAACAATCTACCTTCTCATGTTTCATCTGGTAAAAACAAGAGGATAAAGTTCACAGAAGTTGAACAATAAAACCCAGAGATTTCAAGATTTCACTCACACAGAGCACAAGCCTTCTCTAAATGCAGGTCTTTGTGATTTACAATTTATCTTTAACAGTTTTCTGAGAAAACTACTCAAAATCTAACTCCAACAGTTCTCCTGTGTTTAATTTTCCTTCCTGTTACCATCTCTAAGGTGTGGCACAACCAGCCGTCAGCATATTCACAAATAAATAGATAAAAGAAGCTTGATGATAACTTAAATGGCAAGAAGTAACAGTATTACCTTCTCCCAAGACAATGTCAAGCCATTATATTCATACACAGACGTGAAGCACGTTGGAGATGTATTCAACACCAAAAAGAATAGACCAACCACCAAAGAATTTGAAAATAAGTCCCTCATTTGTTACTGAATAGTGAAGTTACAGGTGTGATGAAATGATAAAGTCCACCAACTCAAATGTGTATAAAGGAAGCACTCTTACTAATAATAAGCAAGTTGCATTTTACCTTGTTCATGGAGTTCTTGAAGTGAGACCAGTCTATCCACAACCTGAGGTAGAGTCTCAGCACTTGCCTCCCATTTTTTGGTCAGCTCAAACAAGTCACTGATCTACACAGAAGAAAGAAAGAACAAGATTTGTAATCAGCAAGATAATGCGACGGAAAAAACTAACTCCACAGTACTAACAAAGATTAAAAAGGCCAATGAAAATGACACCGCATATTACGGAATACCATTGAGTTCTTTTCTCCGAGTACAGAACAGTCCACCATTAGACCATCAAAGAGTATCTACCAAATAATACTTACAAATACATAAATCTGATGATTTTGACCTTTATCGTTAATTAAAAATGCTTGCTAGATTCACTTTTTCATGATAGTTGAGGCATAATTTAATTATTTAATCCACATACAGGATTTATTTCTTGTTTGGCAATAGTGAATCTACTAATTGCTTCATTCACAAAGGTTTGTTTGATTCAACATTGACCTTGATAAAAATTAGATTGGAGTGGAGTAGCCTTCACATTGTCCACAGCAGTCAAAAATGTAACCTTTTACATATGAAATAATTCTTAACTAAAAAGAATGAAAACCCACACATCATCTGCTTCCACTACACTTGTTTTGTTTTGTTTTAGTAGAGGTTTTATGCCGCTCACAACTGCATGGTCATATGAGCGCCAGAAGAATAGAGGTGTTACAAGAGAGTAACAAGCACAAAAAAGAAGAAGGGGAGATAAGGACGACAGATATTTGATAGGAAAGAAGAAGCAAACCACACCAGAGCACTCGCCAACCACCCACCACTACACTTGGATCTTATATTTCAAAAAAGGCTTTCATAGAAAAAGAACACGGCGCACCGGCAGTGGAATTTTAGTTGCCGCGGGGGGGTTCCCCGCCGGGCGCTTTATCACGTCGGGGTCACGGGGGTCAGCTCCCTGTCGCCGCTCTATCTGGGCCGACTTAATTTTTGGTACTTTTCAACGTGCAATTTAAGGTGTATCCTTGTATTTATGGTAATTCTCATTTAGTGCACCCAAAGCATGCATTTCTGCTCTTGAGACTCAAAAAAGAACGGACGTTGTAACTTGTCTGGTTATTTCGTTAGACACGCTGGAGTCGGCAATGCTAAATTGTATTTTTTTTTTGGACTGGCGTGAATGAAAAAAAATCAATATAAAAAAAAAGGCATCGTCAAAATCTGTCTAACTTTTGGAAAATGAACGACATAGCTTTGGTGCAGATACTCAGAAAAGATGGTATCTGCGCTTATAACAGAAGGCTGTAATTTTGCAACTTTATCCATCGGGCACACAATTCGCTATGAATTTATTCCTCCAAATTCAACTTTATGTGTCTAATATAATCGTGAATATTCACATATTTTCTCGAAAGTTGATAAAAGCCACCATGAAGTTTCTCTATGAAAAGTGCAAATCGATTTTAGTTCTAGAATACATCTTCAATGTAGATCTAATACACGAACAGTATCTGTTACACTCCAGAAATTCCTTACTTTTCTTAAAACGCTAAGTCTAGGTTTTGTAAGTTGACTGAATAATAGGGATGACTTCTCGTAATTGGGTTATAAGAATAATTCCTAGCTTTCCAGGGACACTGAATTAGCACCAGACTTTTCCTGCTTTATTTTTCGTTTCTATGACCATTTGCAATAACTGACTATGTGACTGATTTCTTTACATTCATAATTGTGTCTGCGCATATTTCCGACACAAAAACTAAAAATGAATGTGTTAGCTGTCATTATTTTTATTCCATACAAGAAGTTTATCTCTACCCATGTATTTACACGGTTTTGTGGTTTTTTTAATTGCTTAGATTCTATATTATATCTTTTTAGTTGTATGCAGGCTGCCACAGACACAGCATGATTCATGAACAAACGCAGAGTAACTTTCTCTTGTTTAATAGTAAAATAAGAGCTAACGCTGATCATCTTTAGTTAAAAAATGCAGATGTGCATCTTTATCCTCTTATAACTTGACTATTTCTACTAGCGCAGATTTAAGATTTCTCATGGTAAAAGACATGATATTCATAGTCAGTTTAACACAGATTTTGGAGAGATCTGTCGTGCCTTTTTTAAATTAACAATCATTTATTCATAAGTTTGTAACTAGAATAGGACAAATTGGGTACTCTACAAAGACTTGCCTAGAACAAAAACTAAGGCACAGAAATTAACCATTCTAACGCAGAATAAATCTCTAGACATTGAGCTTTTAGTACATCTGCGTAATGGTTTGCTGTGTGGGATGGGGAAGAAGTTATATCGTTTTAAACATAGTCAAAAATGCAAACTTCCTAACCGACACCGGCAAAGTCGCCTCAGGGCTCATTAACCCCGTGACCCTGAGCCGGGGAGCTCCGGCGGGCTGCTGAGTCACGCGAACTAAAAGTAACAGAATCGGGCGAAAAGTGACGCCGTGAGAAGTACTTTGGCTACAAATACAGGACTAAATTAGATTTGAAACTTTAACAGAAACAGCTTTATTCACAGATGCATCATCCTCTTCTACAAAATACAGACTTCATTTTACATACCCTTTTCTGTTTATCTGGATCAGCCTGTGGTTCCTTTTCTTTCTTTTCGGCAATTTGTTGCATTTTTTGTAGGACAGCGTTAAGTCTGGCTTCAACAGTCTCAGTGTTGGAAGCATCCAGCAGTGACAGCTTTGAGTTCAGGGCTGCCACAGAACCCTATGAGAATAAATATTTCTGAGGTCAATGATTTTTATCTTTAGATGTGCCTGAGTAGATGAGCTATTATAAGACATAAAATGACGAGAGAATAATGCATATCACTTACAAAAGACGTAAAGGTGAAGCTGCCGGATTAAAAATCAACTAGACAAGGGTTCCAATCTTGGCTGCACCAGTACCAGCATTTTGCGCTCTAAAAGACACTGCCCTCCCTTTCCTATTTTCCCCAAGTCAGTAAACAAAAATAAACACATTTAAAAAAAAAAAAATTGGCACCAGCATTTGTCTAGGCTAAACAAATCACTGAAGAGAGATCTGTACAAGGGGTGACCTCTTCTACTCCATACTATGGCATCAGGACAGACTTGAGTTCAATGAGTCACACAGGTTCCGTAGAATTTTTTTTCTTTGAAAGTTTTCATGTGTTCATAGTTTTTAAATAATATGTGATGGAACATGACTTTTTCCTCAGAGGGATAAAAAGCACAACTGTGTACTTCAACTTACAATCAAAGACTTGTTATCTGTGTCCGCAGTCAGTACATTCTGAAAAAAGAAAATGATATAAGTACAGGTGTCGAATTTGATTATTTTTTAGTATAAACAGAAATCATGGGGAAACTTTGCAAATAACAAAAATATAAAAACGCTAAACAAAGCAAACTGGCAATGGGAAGTACTCAGGATGTAGAAAATCTTAATTTCCTGAACACATTTTCTTCCTTTGTGGACAGTCTGTCTGCTGGAGAAATACAAGGGGCAACATATAGAAAGACTCTCATCAACTGAGAAATTGCTGTATTCGGCACCATTGGGGGAGATGTCAATTAAGTGTTTAGTACGATAAAGGAAAGGGGACAGTTACTGAGAACTATCTTAAATATACGATTAAGTGAAGGTATTAGTCTATACATATTTTGCATTGTCCAGCAAAATTTCCTCTTTTTCTTGCAGCTCTGGATGTATTATTGATACTTCTAGCAGATAAGACAATAACCAGCTTGCAAACCAAATTTCTCTTTAAACTTAGCCAGCTATTAAGTAAATTAAGACTAATGCATCTGTTAACACAAAACCACATAAGCATATTTATAGTTTCAGAATTAAACTCACCGTTTTATCAAAATTCTTCCCAATCACATTTTCAAGTCTGTCCAGCCTTTCCTCAAGCTTCGCAAGCTGTTGAGATTTTCAAAAAAATAGTTTTAAATAATTACAAACTTATCTACTGTTTCAACCTTTGGCAACAATATGGGTGAAAGCCACACTTGGCACTAGTACTGAAGAGCTAAAACTCATTATTAATGAGCACAGAAATTCCATAACACTACTAACACAATACAATAATGACGCTTTTTAAAAATTATTAACAGACACATTATTGAACAACTTTCTGGTCAAACTTAACACAAGATTTAGAAAATGCATCTCTGGAGCACAAATACCATGAGGTGAAGCCTGCATTTGTTTATGTCCATACATATATATATATATATTTAAGCAAATGTAGCCATACACATCAGAGTGACAAAAGAAGCACTTGTCACTCAAATGGACAGCTGATTCAAGAGGAAGTTCACAGAAACGAAGATATATATTCAAATACTGTCAAAAGAAAAGACTGAAATTTTTTTTAAAGACAAATAGTAAACTATCAGTTTCATTGTCCAACTCACACAAGCTTACATTGTACATTTCAGACAACCTAGTAAGAGAGGTGATACGGTAAATCAGACTGCATCACCTGCACTAACAGTTACTCAGTCAAAAACATACTCTGGCGTTCTTGCTAAACTGCGCTTGCTCCGGTTTGTAGAAGAGCTCATACACAACACTGTCCCCTCCAGCACCAGGAGCTCCTTTCTGTTTGGATTTGTCCCCCGCAGCACCAAAGCCCTCTAACTGGGTGAGAAGTCGCCTGAAGGCAGATAAAGTAAGTACAAACTGTAATGTTGAGCATTACAAAAAAAGGACAAATTACAGTGGAATGGAACGTAACTGCATATCAATGTGGTTTTTTAAACTCATACGAGTGAGATTTTACGGGTCTATGTTTAAATGAATCAAAGAGGAAAAAAACCCCAAAACATACGACATTTCATATAAAAAATCCTGATCTTACAGAGAGAACCTGATGAAAAATTTGAATTCTACGACTAAAATTCCATATCAAAATCATATTCACATGCCTAAGCCCAAAAAGTGAGTGAGATTTTAGGGGTTTATGTTTAAATAAATCAAAGCGGAGAAACAAAAAACAGTGACTCATTGTACTAAATTTTTGGACCTGATAGAGAAAATCTGACACCGGGTTCAGATTCTACCACTCAAATTCCATACGAAAATCCTTTTCACAAGCCTCAGCCCAAAAATTTTCAGAATTTTATCGACCAGTGTAACCATTTATAAATTTATCGAGAAATATCAGGCCTGACACTGCATGTCACAATGGATAAAATTCATAACATATACACTAGAGACAGTCTACAAATAAGTTTGCGTCAAATTCAAGTTCAATATTTAGAACAAAAATATTCTGAACTGTTGAGTTAACAGAATATTGGACAGAAAAACAAAAATCAAAAACATTTTGCAAAAAAATTCCCTTTCACAAATAAAAAAAACAAAACACTTTCACTTTCGTTTGTTTCAATACACACTGGGTCAAATACACTGATGCAAAAAGTTGAGTTTTCAGTAAAGCGTCGGTATGCAAAATAATAATAATAATAAATAGCATAATTTGTAGACAGTACAGTGCATACCCCCGCTCAACTCAAAAGCAAGCTCTTACTGAGCACTTACTGTCTCAGGGCTCCCTGGGGATCTGCCAGATCAACCTTGGCCTCAGGTCCCAGCAGCTTCTCCAAGTGCAGGTCTGCCAGCTGGTGCTGCAGGTACTCCAACTGTTTCCCCAGCGCCACAGGGGACAGGGAGTCGCCCGCATCTGTTTGTTGGACTGAATCCTAAGGGAGTGATAAATTTGAGATTTGAACTTAATAATAATAATAATAATATTAATAATAATAACAATAATAATAATAAAAATAATGATAATAATAAATAGCATTATATAGCGCACATCCCCACTCGACAGCAAGTTCTAAGCGCTTTACACACTATATTATCACCCCAGCAGATCATAGAACATTCAGAAACAATCTCAGCTTCCCAGATAGCATACAAAGCAAACAGCTGAATAAGTGCTCAAAAACTAACAAACTGACAATATTTTTTACTTAAATACACTGTATTCTTTTCACAGCATCAAATTAACAGCAGGCAGCTGGAGTTGAAAAGAAGGATAACAACCTTCTGGTTTTAGGCATACCAACAAGACAACACCAGAAAGAACTGGAGCGACAGCAGTGACGGCAACAAATATAAGTGAATCTCTCTCAAAGGCAGTTTTATAGTTTTAGTAGAGGTTTAACGGCGCTCGCAACTGCATAAGGCCATTTGAGTGCCAGAAGATTAGAGGAGTACAAGAGTGTAACAAAAAGAAAAAAGAAAAAAGGGAGATAAGGACGGTAGATGTTTGACAGGATAGAAGGAGCAAACCACACAAGAGCACCCGCCAACCACCCACTCTCAAAGGCAGAAAAGCGTAGTGAGCTGAAAATGTGCAGTAAATGCTTCAGGTATTTTTTACAAGCTAGTGTACCATGAAACATTACTGATCTTTTAGTAATAGGTATCTTCTTGTTGCAAAAAAGATATTTAACTATGTTTAACCTGCTTTACAAGGTATGAAAATAACTTAATAGGCTCCCAGTTTTCCTCTGACAGTAACAATGATGTCCATCTTTCACCTAACCATAGTGTAGAAGTGCAGAGAAAGGAAGAACTGATTGCAGGTTATTTCATTATCTTAATAAAGGCATTTGAACAACTCATACAAATAGGACTCAGTAAATCACTCAAGCAGAATAGGTGTCTCTACAGGACCCCCTACCCCTCTTTAGTGTGCAACACAGCTTGCCATAATTGAACAAGAATAAGTCTATTTCTTCAATCACCTCCAGCTTTCTGCTGAAAAGATGCATCCCACTCACCTTATGTTGACAGTTGACCTTA